CAGATAATCGGTACAAATAAATGTCAAAATAATAAATTGCCAGAAAAACTTTTAGTTGACGGGGATATAATTTATAATAAAGAAGTCATAATTAACAAGCTCAACAAATTTTTTCTTGATATTGGACCAAAATTAGCTGATAAAATTCCAAAAACCAACTCAAACAACTTCGAATCTTATATAAATACACCCAACACATCTATGATAGAATCTAATTTAAACTTAAGTGAGATGCGCAATGCTTATAACTGTCTAAAAAATAATAAATGTGCGGGCATTGATAAAATTAGCGTAAATGTAGTTAAAGCTGTGTTTGATATTATTGAACCATCACTGTTTCACATTTTTAATCTTTCTTTAAAATCCGGTATTGTACCAGAGAAATTAAAAATTGCTAAGATTATACCTATTTTTAAAAATGGCGATGATACAATATGTCCAATTATAGACCTATTTCGGTCTTACCATGTTTTTCTAAACTGTTAGAACGAATTATGTATGATAGACTTAACAACTATTTAACTGAGAACAATATTCTGTATAATAAACAATTTGGGTTTAAAAAAAATCATTCAACGGACCATGCAGTAGTCGATCTAATAAATTATGTATCCAATGGGTTCAATAATGATTGCTATACAGTAGGAGTTTTTATTGATTTGTCAAAAGCATTTGACACTGTTAATCATGATATTCTAATAAAAAAACTAGAAATGTATGGAGTATTAAACAATAACTTACAATGGTTTAAAAGTTACCTTTCAAACAGGAAACAATACATAATATATACAGAAAATGAAGAAAAAAAACATATCATAACTTGTGGTGTTCCCCAGGGATCAATCTTAGGGCCCTTATTATTCATACTTTTCATTAATGATTTGTATTTAGCATCCAAAATTCTAAACGTTATTTTGTTTGCTGATGACTCAAATCTTTTTTACTCTAACAGAAATATTAAAGATCTGTTTAGAATTTTTAATGAAGAGTTATTAAAAATAAATGAATGGATTACGAATAATAAACTTTCATTAAATGTTGGGAAAACTAAATTTATGTTGTTCCACAAACCTAGTAAAGGTGATAACCTTTTTTTAAAACTACCTGATCTCTTTATGAACAAAAAAGTTATTAAAAGAGAGTCAACTATTAACTTTCTAGGAGTGATATTAGATGAAAATATATCATGGAAATATCATATTAGATCTATTGAAAATAAAATCTCCAAAAATATTTCAATGCTATATAAAGTTAAACCTTTTCTTAATACGGAATCTTTAAAAGTTATATATTTCTCATTTATTCATAGTTATCTTTCCTATTGTAATCTTGCATGGGCAAAAGAAACTTAACGTGCTTAATATTTACAAACTTAATATATACCAAGTTATGCTATTTACGTTTAAAACAAAACATGCGTTATCTCCTAATATATTTCAGTCTTACTTTACCGAAATATCTCATAAATATCCCACTAAATTTTCATCTGATAATTTTGTTATTCCAAGATCTTATTTAAAACTCAATTCATTTCAAATTCAATACCGGGGACCATTTATATGGAAAGGTTTTTTAAAAAATATAATTAAAAATAAAATTCTTCGAGGCATCTCCTTAGAACAATTCAAAAGAGAATCTAAACGTTTTCTATTAGAAAAAACTTTCGATTTTAAAGATTTCTTCTAAAATCACCTAAAATAATTAAACCTGAAAAAGTCATCACTACTCATTTACTATTGTCCTTTGTATCTTGTTTATTTCTTATTAAAATAAAAAATATATATACTATTAATTTTGAACAGACAAATAACATTTATTCGATTTATTACTTGTGTCTTATATTTGTCGAACTAATATTGTATTGTACTTCAATTTTTAACCTTTAAGTTTTTAACTTGTAACTTTGTGACGCTAATGTAAACGGGGCTTGGCGATAAGACAGTTTATGTCTTCTTCTTGCTCCGGCCAATTTTTATACATAAATGGTTTTTTCTCATTGTAAATTTAATTATACGGCAAAGAAAATATAATAATAATAATAATAATAATAATAATAATAATAATAATAATAATAATAATATATATATATATATATATATATATTTATATATATATATATATATATATATATATATATATATATATATATATATATATATATATATATATATATATATATATATATATATATATATATATATATATATATATATATATATATATATGTCATTTCGAAAAGAACACAAGTCCATTTATTAAAACTTTTCAAAATCAACAAAAAAATGAATAATATTAAAATAATGTTTACGCTGATAAAGAAACTATACATAGAAGTAGATAAATAAAGAACGTATATAACTTATGAAACTTTTATTTTTTATAAAAAAAAACATAAATCATACAGAAATTTTTAATTTAAATTACTACTTCATACTTATTGCTCCAATATAAGCAGTTATGCATAGATTTATATATTTCCCTACAAACACACACACACACACACGCATATATATATATATATATATATATATATATATATATATATATATATATATATATATATATATATATATATATATATATATATATATATATATATATATATATATATATATATCCTTATAGTGTAGTCGAAAGAGTCGTTTAATGTAAAAAAAGTCTCTTTCGACTACAATTTTAATTACCTCGTCTTAAGCTGTTTTTGATTGTCATCGAAATGTCAAAGCAATTAATTTATGCGGAAGTACATTAAATTTAATTGTTTTTAAAAAAAATTTTAAAAAACCGCAATTATAACGACTAGAAAAAATTTTAAAAAACGACTTAAAAATTTTAAAAAACGACTTAAAAAAAATTTTAAAAAACCGCAATTATAACGACTAGAAAGTTTTTTTTAATTAGTGGTGTTTTTGTTATTGATTTAATAAAAAACATTTTTAAAACATGCGTAAATGTTGCTACATCGACTATCTTAAAGCCTGACTCGCAACGGAGTGCTGCTACATCGACTGACAAATAGCCTGTCTCGCAACGGAGTGCTGCTACATCGACTGACAAATAGCCTGACTCGCAACGGAGTGCTGCTACATCGACTGACAAATAGCCTGACTCGCAAGGGAATGCTGCTACATCGACTGACAAATAGCCTGACTCGCAAGGGAGTGCTGCTACAACGACTGACAAATAGCCTAACTCGCAAGAGAGTGCTGCTACATCGACTGAGGGTTTGGTTTGGCCAGGCAGTCTATCAATTAAAAAAAAAAAATTAATTTTTAAAACTTTTTCTGGTCTGGTTTATTAACGCGCTCTTTAAAACTACAGTTTATGGGAAACTTTTTTTGATGCCATGCAAGAGACATGCAAGAGTATATATATATATATATATATATATATATATATATATATATATATATATATATATATATATATATATATATATATATATATATATATATATATATATATATATATATATATATATATATATATATGTATATATATATATATATATATATATATATATATATATATATATATATATATATATATATATATATATATATATATATATATATATATATATATATATATATATATATATATATATATATATATATATATATATATATATATATATATATATATATATATATATATATATATATATATTGTCAGTATTCAAGGGACATGCAAAAAATTTGAGATGATAAACAAGTAAGTTTTTGCATAATAGTTATAATAAAATGCGAGGCAGAAAACACAACGGGTACAGTTAGTTATTTGTTTGATACATTTGATATGTACCTCTATTGAGTGTTTTTTGAATGCTATGGTATTGTTAGTAGTTAAGACTATTTTTGTTAGACTGTTTTTATTAATTTTTTTTTTTTGGTAAAGATATCTCAATATAGTTTATAATAGTTCAAAGTTTTGTTGTTTTTTGTTTTTAAAAAATATTTGAGAAATAATTTAGTAAATTTTAACTAGTAATTTACTAATCTAGAAAGATCTATACCATGAACTAAAATGTTATACTGATAAGCTGTTCTGCATTGAATTTTTAAAAATGCATCTATTTTCAAAACCACAAGTTATTAAATACAACTATTAGAACCTTAAGAAACTTTATAAGAAACTAAAGAACGAATAATCAAATGATAGCAGATTTATTTATAATTTTAATAAGTTTATATTTATTTATATTGTTTATGAATTGGTAAAATTCTATAAAATATCGACGCCTACTTTTTTTTGAATACAAATATCCGGATATATGTTATTTTCCGGACTTGTTAGAAATTAGCCCGGATGTACCGAAAAAAATACAGTAAACCGTTTTTTTATAAAAACCGGAAAATTTTCTTTTAAAATAGAAATATAAACAAAAATTCGAAGTCTTGTGAAAAAATCAGCTCAATATGTAGAATCAATGCTTCCTTATTTATAAGTCTATTTCCTCATTTTGTATTACAACTGACTGTGCGATGTGTAAGTTTAAACGTAGAAGTACTGCTCACCACGTGCATGAATCATGCTATTCATCTGGCTGTGATTTATAGTTTCTACAAGAAAATTGGGAAACTAGTTTTTTGTGAAGAAATATGTGATAATAAAATTAGTTTTCAACTTTCAAAATCAGAATTAGAATATAACTTTAAAGAAGTTGAAAATGATAAACTATATGTTAAAAGTTATAAACAAAATTGCAAATCTATAATTCAGCCATACTACAAACAGCCCATTAAAGAAATTTAAAAGGTTGTGGATTCTTAAAATTAAATATTCGATTGAATATATAATTATAAAAATCCAGAACTTTTGTCAAATGACTAAAGTTTCGATCGAAACTGTTGAAATAAAGTATTCTCACGCGTCGCAGCTGTTTTAGAATAATCATGTCATCTTTGTTTTACGATTATTCTTTGAACGCTATCGATAGCTTTCAAATATTGTTATACGATATATCCTATAACAATATTTGTTTTGCTAGCGTTATCTTTTCATTTAAACATTACGTTAAACACCAATCTACGCATACGTCCTTGCTCGTTTAAAGTTTCTAATAAAAAGTTTTGCAATAAAAAGTATTGAAATCTTCATTTCAAAATGTAAACCTTGTATGCCTCAATAAATAACTCAAGTATTCGCAATGAATAATCAAAAGCAAAAAGTAGACAAGAAAGTTATTATTCTTGGAAACGCTAAAGTTGGTAAATCATGTCTTATTAATCGTTATATGAATGAAACTTTTTCTGAAAATGCGAGAAGCACTATTGGCTGCTGTTATTTTTCAAAACAATGGGGCAAAAAAAATATTGCTGTGTGGGACACTGGAGGAGAAGAACGGTTTAATGCTTTAACAAGTTTTTATTGTCGCTATGCCCATGCCGCAATACTTTGTTATTGTTTAAATGATCGTTTAAGTTTTGATGCCATTGATACAATACATGTGCCATTACTTTCTTCAGCGTCAGAAAATTGTTTGATAGTTTTAGTTGGAACAAAACTTGATTTATTAAATACGTCAACTGTTAAGAATTCAAATCTAAGAGCTGTTTTACCTGAAGAAGCTAGATCAAAATTACTTGAGTTAACGCAAAGGTTTAAATCTCCTGAACACCCTCAAGGAATACTGCCTGTTTTTGAAACAAGTTCAAAAGAAAATATTCAAGTTCACGAATTGTTTGAGTTTGTGTTTAACACATTAGTATCTGAAACGGAATTAAATCCTGATGCTTCAGAGGAAACAGTTACTTTAGAAGTCTCTCGTTTAAATGAATTTAAAAAAAAATGCTGTTAAATGGTTGAACCAATATACTAATATATAATAAAATGCAAATTAAAAATATAATATTTTATTTGCATTTTTTTTATTTACAATAGAATTATCAACTATTGCATATGAATTGCTTTTTTCAACTTTCTTTTAAAAGATACATTAACTTTTCTCAGTTAAATAAAAATTTTTTGTTAAAATATAAATTTGCAACAAGAAAAGTAATTACTAAATTGAATGGGAATAATAATTAAGAAGCAGAGGCGATTCTACAAATAAAAAAAGGGGGGGGGGGGAATCCACAAAAAGTACCGACTAACTTCTATAAAAAAAAAGAAAAAAAAAGGTCCTTAAAACCAAAATTTAATTAACTGAATTGTTTCAAATACCCGACTAATTTCGTGAAAAAACCGACTATAACTAATAAGAGGTGTTTTTCTTATTCCCAAATTTAAAAATATTTTGTTTATGCGACACAATGATCGCAAAAAGTGACCAACGGAGCCGTCCAGTTTCGTAGACCTGAGAGATGTGATAATAAAAACAGTTAGAAGATGGTGTCATTGAATAAAAAATAAAGATCATAAGAAAATATAAAATGAGTGATAAGACTTTTGTGAAGGTAAATAACGAAGTTAAATGCTCGGGGAAAAGGGAGAGAACCAACTAACACTCTAATCACTCTGTGTGTAGATCATATGTAACAAAGAACAAATATTTGATATACTGATTTTGAAGATTGTTGATGTCTACAGGTGTAATGGTGTAGTGCATTAGTACATACCGTTTGTCGTCTAGTATGGTCTCGTTTTGTTTCCGTTCACTTTCAAATCGGGTGAATAGAAAGCTAAACACACTCACTTCTTGCGCTTATGGGCAAGCACATCAGAGCTAGACGTAAGACCTACAGAATGGATTTCAATTGATCGAATGCACACATTAGTCACCCTAGGCCACAAGCCATCACTCGTAGCCAAAAGAGCTAGTGCCCCGTGCTGGTGTGGAATGATGTGCTATGAAGTGAGATTTCAGATCCGAGCACATAGTCAGCGAGCGCTGATCCGACGTGCATTGTGGAGCTTCCGACTGAACGTGTGCGTGAGTGTTAGCTCATTAGGTTATTGAGCGCCGTAACCACATCCAGCGAGATAGCCTAATGTCCGTTTTGTCGTTGTGGTGTACATTGGAAAATGTCGGGGCTCACCAGCCACAAAGAATAAATTTTTTTGCTTATGCGACACAATGATCGCAAAAAGTGATAAACGGAGCCGTCCAGTTACGTAGACCTGGGAGATGTCAAAATAAAAACAGATTGAAGATGATGTCATTTAGATAAAAAAACATAAACAAATGCAAAGACTATTTAGTAGGAGGAATAAAAGTTAGCAACTCAGGAAAAGAGGAATAAAAACTCACACTCTAGTCATCTTTTAGCACATGATGAAACAATGATCTATGAGTAAACAAGTCAATAAAAATCCGCTGGTTTATAATGGTATTCATAGCTAAAATAATCGCACCATACAAATGTCTATTAAATGTGGTACTGTATATGTTATAAACTCTAGATAAAAAATTGAGAGCTAATAATCGCCTGTGTAACATAAAAATATATAAATGTCGTTAATGTAACAAATACATAATAAAAAGCTCACAAAGCGCAAAAATACATGGGTTTAAGAGGTAAAAAAATGTTGGTGCCATAATAACCAATTAGAATTAAGTAGTGGATAAATGGTGATCTCCCTCTCAGGAATGCACTGCGATCACCAATGACGTTTCGGAGAGCCCGAGACCTGAACTAACGCCACTCGTCAGGGGCGTGTCCTAGCACCAGATCTCACCGCCTGCACTCTACGACATGCTAGTCAATATTGCAATATAATAGGACAAAATAAATAATAAGCAGCAGATACCACATAATACTTCAAAGTGACTTACCATTTTTTAATAAAGTAATGCCTAATATATGTATATTAACAATCCAGGAAATCACGAATCGTAACGATTTAAACTAGGATGAAAATAGTATGTGGTAAAGGTATACAAACGTGTGGAGTTTAGTAAGACAATTTGTTCAGAAAATATAAACCTCACCTGATAGATGGAGATAATTCCTAACTGAAAATAGTATTAGATAATAATAACTAAATAGATTGAAACTCAAGATAGCCAGCTAATACACAATATAATTAGTGGATACACCAGAAGTGAATAATAATTTAATATGTGGAATACTATATGAGAGTGGACCGACACAGGTCATAAACGCGTAATCGATCAAAGAGTATCTAGCGGACTAAAAAAATCGAGTTGAAAAACAAAGATTGTTTACATAATAATCATAAGAACGCTATTGAAGACTGTATAGTGCAAAACTAAAACTGGCTTATCGACGTCAGATAAATTTTCTTAGGATGAAAAAAATCTAACAATATGGTAGTCGAATACAAAAAGTATAACCGAAATACATGGTATAAGCTATTAGAGTGACTAAAAGGTAATGGAAAAAAATTAAAAATTAAAAGTAAGTAAGTAAAGTGGCTAATCTACCACCTAAAGGTAAAAGTGATAAACAAATGGGTCTGTCTTGTAAAGAACGCATGCTAAATTTAATCTATTTTTGTCTTGTTTTGGGGCGTTCCATATGTAAAAAGTGTATAGCAAAGTTTGACCGTTGTAGTCCTTGTGTGGTTAGTATGTATTTTATAAGATATAAAATGCATTTATTGTGATATTTTATTTTTTTATTCTAAATGAAATATGGATAAATCACTTTGTTTATCTTCAAGGTTTTTCCATTCACATGGACAAAGGTCTATGTTTAAATACCTCATAGAATTGAGATAAATGTCAAAATAAAACCATCTATGTGAGTGGTTCTCAATGTTTCTAGCTAGCCACAGCAGTTGGTATACTCTTTTTTATATTTTGCGCGGTTTTTTTTAAAGCCGAGAATAAGGAATTTGAAAATTAAGTATGGAGATTATCCGTTACCAATGAAAAAAAGTGTCCATTTGAATGCTTCAGGGTCAGTTATAGTTATGTTCCAGAATATTATCTGTATGGATAGTGGCCAGGTATTCATAGGGTGGAAGCATATTCCATTCATTTCTTTGTAAATGATGTATCGTTCTTTATCAAGACTTGCGTTAGATAATACGTTCGCGTCCTCCGTGGCTTGGCGAAGGAATATCTCTATAGCATGTTCATCCTAAAATAGCAGTTAAGTGTATAAATCATGTGTCTAGTATCTTCGTGTAAATATGTCTAAGCATTTTGTTTAAGGGGTATTAACAAAAGCCCTCTATTAATTTTCTGGTGTATTTATAAGCGAATTATAAACTATAATCGTCGAACGAATAATAATATAACAATTTGGCTTATTGATAGATCATGTAATAAAGTAAAAAACATAAACAACATAGGCGGTATATTTTATGTGTAAAATAATTGAAATACAAAATTGTAACATGCGGGTGGGGGCATAAGTACGTCCAGCTGAATACGAACTAGAGCAAACAGTGGATGTTCATTTATTGTGATTGGCAGTGTATTTAGTGCGGATAAGTCTATCTCTGAGGGAAAGTGTGTTAGTGTGTGTGAGGATGGGTACCGGTGGAAATAGTGTGCAGAGTTCTGGGTCATTGTGGATAAGGTGCTAGTTGTGTAATATCGCGTTGTTGATACGTATACCTTGTTCATTGTAAGGTGTGACTATGGGGAAGATGTGGGTGTCATCGGCTTCTTTGTTTTTGTGGATAAGATCTTTCTGTGCGTGTAATAGGGCTTTAGTGATGTTCCTGTTGATAATATCAAGATGGTACCCTTTAAGAACCAATTGGCGCGCTAATGGGTGGAGCTCCTTATATAGGTGGTGGGAGTCAGATATAAGCTTATTGTATCTGATTGCTTGCCTGTGAATGAGACCTGATGTGGTATGATGTGGGTGGTATGAACTGAAATGTAGAAGGCTCATAGTGTCGATGGGTTGACGTTGAATTGTACTCTGTATTTTATCTAGATGGTTCTTGTAGAGAGTTAGGTCCATAAAGTCAATGGAAGTTTCTGAGTGGTTAAAAGTAAATTTAATGGTGGGGAGCAGGTTGTTCATAAATGTTATAACATGTTCGAGATCTTCTATAGTGCCTGTGAATATGAAAAAAATGTCATTGATGAATCTTTTGTAGAACGTGATGCTGTCTTTAAATTGTCAAGTGATGGCTTCGTCTAATGTGCCCATGAATATGTTAGCGTATGGTGGTGTCATGCGAGTACCCATCGATGTCCCTGTCATTTGTAAATAGTTGCGGTCGTCAAATTGGAACGTTGTGTTTGTCAGAATGGTGTCAATCATAATCTGTATATATGCTACAGGTGGTGAATTGGGTGGCCTTAGGTCATGTGGTATGTTATTAAAAAGTTGTTTGATGGTTTCTATACCATCCTTATGGGGTATGTTAGTGTACAGGGAGGTAACGTCAGCGGTGACAAAGATGTATTTTTGAGGCGGTAGTGGTTGATTTTGGAGCATGTGAAGAAATTGTGTGGAGTCTCTAAAATATGATGGAAGTGTTTCGGCTAGTGGTTGTATGAACTTAGTCTCAAAGTATGAGAGGTGGTCTGTGGAACCATCGCAAGCAGATACAATAGGTCGGAAAAGAATTCCATTTTTGTGTATTTTGGGGAGTCCATAGAACAGGGGAGAGCGACAAGAATTGTTAGGGCGTATTTAATTTGCAGTCTTTTCGTCAATTACTCCTTTGAATAAGATGTAATCAATTGTCGATACAACGTTTCCTTACATTTCTATGGTGCGGTCGTATTGTACCAGTTTAAAAACACCACATGTTACTTGAGCTTTTAAAATAATTAATGGATATTTACACTCCAGTGTCGTGCATTGTGGAGTTTCTGACTGAACGTGTGCGTGAGTGTCCGCTTATGGGCTAGCACATTTTCTGGGTCATTGTGGATAAGGGCCAGTTGTGTAATATCGCGTTGTTGATACGCATACCTTGTTCATTGTAAGGTGTGACTATGGGGAAGATGTGGGTGTCATCGGCTTCTTTGTTTTTGTGGATAAGATCTTTCTGTGCGTGTATTAGGGCTTTAGTGATGTTCCTGTTG